GGGCAACGTCCATGACCATGCCAATGCGGCGCTCAGCAATCCCATTTTGCTGTGGAGAGTCCGGAAGCGTGAAGGTCTGGCGGATGCCTCGTGCACGACAGTAGGCTCGCAGAAGGCCAGAGGAGAACTCTCCGCCTGGGTCAGAGTGCAGACGCAGAACAGGAAAGTCCGAGCCGAAGCTCCGCCTGAGCTGGAGACGAGCTGCGCGGATCCAGTCGATCAACACCGCAGTGACATCACCCTTGCTGCGCAAGGGGAAGACTGTGGTGTAACGCGAGTAGTCCTCAACCACCAGCAGGAAGTAGCGCTCGTGACCCTGTCCACGGACGCGGGCCGGGCCCCACACGTCCATGTGAAGCGTCTGCAGCGGGGCCTCTGTCGGAGGAAACTGGGAGGAGTGAGGGGCAGCACGCTGCCGCCCCTCGACACAGGGGACGTAGGCAGGGGCAGGCCCCGGGGGAAGGGGAGGGAGGGACCGGGGAAGACCAGAGACAAGGACACGGGAGGCCATGCCTTGGAGACGAAGCAGGGAGGGGTCACCAAGGCGGTGGTGCCAGAGGAGAGTCTCGTGAGACAGGAGGCGACACGAGCAGGGGGCAGACTCAGGACCAGACCTGGACGCTGCAGCAAACACCTGACCCAACGCAGTTACCTGACCAGACGCAGTGACAGGAGGAGACTCAGTGGTCAGTGTGTACAGGCTCGACCCCGGCCGACGTGTAAACGTGGCCAGGTGTCGGCTTGTCCGAGCGTCCGTGCAGTGGGTCACCCGCTGACTCGCAGGAGTGAACTGGTGAACCCCCGCATCCTGTAGGACCACTCACCAAGTTCGTAGAGAATGAGGGGAGGTAAAGACCAGACAGGGTGCCAGAGGGGGCCGCCGGACACGGGAGGATAGTGGAGAAGTCAGCAAGGACAGGACCCCCAGAGGGGTCTGCCAGGGAGACTGCAACTGGCCGACCAAGTGGCGTGAGTGTGGTGCGGTCTCGAAAGAAGGAGCGAGAAGCCCCTGAGTCAAGGGTGAAGGTGTGGGAGGCCGAAGCCGACGCGGTACCTGAGAGAGCAGACTCACCAGCACCTTAGGAAGCATACGCACTGGCACCTAGAGCAACAGCTTTGCTAGCACCTAGAGCAGCAGCCTCACCAGTACCTAGAGCAGCAGTCTCAATACCCGGGTCAGGCGGGAAACACCGGTAACAGTCACCCTCATGTCTAATAGTCACAGCATACATGGCAGCAAGAATTGCATCAAAGTCAAGGTCAAAGATAGCTACTCCCGCCCTAGACAGCTCGCCCCAGCGAGGGATCTCAGTGGCCTCAGGGAACTGGTGACGCCAAGCGTCCGTGAGGCGGCCAAAGCAGCGGTGGGTGGAGTGCGCACCCCCGCATTGCTCACCCGCGCGGTCGCCGGTGCGTAGGACGTAGGTGCACGGACCAGTACCCCCACCCCGCTGGCGTGCAGCGTACCACTCACGGAGCTGCTGAGGGGGGGGGATGTCACGAGTGCGCTGCTGCTGCTGCTGCTGCTGCTGGCGCTAACCACCACCGGAGCCGACCCTCTGCGCAGCGCCACCCCGACCAGCTCCGCCTCCTCCGCCGCCTCCTCCTCCTCCGCCGCCACCCCCGCTACCTCCGCCGCCACCGCCACCGCCGCCTCCGCCTCCGCCTCCACTGCCGCCACCGACACCTCCACCCCCGCCACCACTCCCACCACCACCCCCACCCCCTCCACTGCCGCCACCGCCACCTCCGCCACCCCCGCCACCCCCGCCACCCCCTCCAGCGCCCTTGCCCCCCTTGCCCTTGCCGGTGCGGCGTCTCCCGCTCGGGGCAGACGCAGCGCCGATCGACTCGAGACCAACGAGGTCGGCCGCAGCATCAGAGGCATTAGAGGGCAAAAGGGGGGAGGGGGAACACTCCTCAAAGACGGGGGTGCGAGGGTCACCACGGGAGGCTCCTACAGCGACTATGCTCTTCTCTGCTGCTAGGAGGGCCTTCTCGAGGAGGTCAACGGTGAGATTGGTGGGGCAAACTGAGAGGAAGTGGTCTCTGACTACGCGGAGAGAGTCAGGGAGCCGGGTGACCATGTAGTAGAGGGTGATGTACATGGGGGGGGGGGTTCTTGGCGCAGAACTCAGCAGGAAGCGCAGCGCGGTAGCGAGTGTCACTAGTGCGGAGGTGCGTAATGAGGTCAGTGACTGTGGGAAAGGAAGCAAGGTCAGGGATGAGGTACGGTAGCATGAGACGGCTCAGTGCAGCAGTGGCAGGGGAGGAGTAGCGTGCAACTACAGCGTCGTACAAGGTCTGAGCACTCTTGTACTGGCTAAAGTACGCACGCTCAGAGGTAGGCAGGTGGCGACGCACAGCAAGACGTGCAGCAGCATCGCGTGTGGCCCACTGTGAGCGAACAGTGACGTCAGCATCAGCAGCAGGGGCAGGAGAGGCACCAGAAGTGAGGTCAAAGAGGGAGAGACGGTCTGCCCTATCGCACTGTAGGAAAAGCTGCAGGTCATCTACCCAGACGTCAAAGTCAATGGCCCGACCCTCAGCGTCAAAAGCGAGGACACTAGGGGTAGCCATGACAGCAGTAGACTAGCAGCGCGAACAGTAGGGTAAGGGCAGTGCAGTGACAGAGGCGCTGCTCTTACCGGACAGGGCGGCTCGGACGGCTCGGCGATTCGGCGGCTCGGCGGCTCCGGCGGCTCGGCGGCTCGGCGGTTCGGCGACTCGGCGACTCGGCGGCTCGGTAGTAACTGCGGCTCGGCGACTCCGTGGCTCTGGCGGCTCGGCGGCTCGGCGGTACGGCGGCTCGGCAACTCGGCGACCCGGCGGCTCGGGCGGCTCAGGTGGCGCGGCGGCTCGGGCGGCTCAGGTGGCTCGGGCAGCTGGGCAGTAGGTCGGCGGCGCCGGCGGCTCGATGGTGACGGCGGGGCCGCGTGGGGACGGCGGCGGGGCCGGTAGCGGCAGCGCCGGGGCCGGGAAGGGTAGCGCCGGGGCTGCAGGGTAGGCGACGGGGCCAACAGAGGCGGCGCCTGGGCCGGGAAGGGCGGCGCCGGGGCCGGGAAGGGCGGTGCCGGGGCCGGGAAGGGCGGCGCCGGGGTCGGGAAGGGCGGCGCCGGGGCCGCAGGGGTAGGTGACGGGGCCGCAGGGTAGACGACGGGGCCGCAGGGTAGGCGACGGGGCCAGCAGGGTCGGCGACGGGGCCGCAGGGTAGGCGCTGGGGCCGAAGGGTAGGCGCCGGGGCCAGCACGGTAGGCGACGGGGCCGCAGGGTAGGCGACGGGGCCAACAGGGTAGGCGACGGGGCCAGCAGAGGCGGCGCCGGGGGGTCGCGAGGGCGGGTTGAAGAGGCCGCGAGGGCGGCACGAAAGGGCCGCGAGGGCGGCGCGAACCGGCCGCGAGGGTGGCGCGACGCGACGGAGCCGCGAGGGCGGCGGATCGGGGCCGCGAGGGCGGCGCGACGCGGCCGCTAGGGCGGCGCGACGTGACGGGGCCGCGAGGGCGACGCGACAGGGTCGAAAGAGGGGAGCGCGACTCGGGCAGAGTAGAGCGCGCTCCGGGCAGGGAAAAAAATGGTGGTGGGCCCTAGGAACAGTTCCCACAGGGGAACCTGCTCGATACCATGAGAATATGAACGAGAATGAATTGACTAAGGGAAAGTTGGGTACAAGTACAAACCCTAGAAAGTCGTACCCCATATGTGCTACCCCACTATAGCCTACAACAGCTATGTCATATAAATCTGACACATGGCACAACCCGAAGGTTATGATGATGGTACGGGTCGAGTTTGTCACTTGGTAAAGTCACTTTATGGTCTCAAACAGTCCCCACGGGTATGGTATCATGCTCTTGAGACGGTACTCTTCAAGCACGGTTTCACAAGGTCCATGAGAGACAACGCGTTGTACTTCATGCACACGAGTAAGGTGGAGTACATTTGGCTGTTGGTATATGTTGATGACCTCCTCCTAGTCTCAGGTTCTCTTGATCTCCTCAACAAGGTGAAAGGCATTCTCATGAGTGCATTCACGATGACCGATCTTGGTGAGCCGAGTCATTATCTTGGTATGAATATTGTGAGAGATCATAAGTCACGGTCCATCTTCCTATTCCAGCAAAGGTACATCCAAAAGGTCCTTGAGAGGTTTGGTCTTGATGATAGCAAGCCATCACCTACCCCGCTTCCTTCCAACTTTGTCCCTCTGTCATCACATCAGCCCTATGAAGAGAGGGAGTCAAGCCTTGACATCACGGGTATTGAGGATTTGTGTCTTGAGGAGAGTGAGCATCATGGTGAAAATTCACCCAAGGTATCCCCACAAGACCTAGCTCTCTACCAAAGTCAGGTTGGGTGTCTCATGTATGCAGCCCTATGCACAAGGCCCGACCTAGCATTCACGGTATCCAAGCTAGCTCAACACATGAGTGCCCCATCACCTACCCATATGCATGCAGCCAAGCGAGCTCTTCGGTATCTCAAAGGTACTTCTAATCTTGGTCTTCTCTTCCAAGCCAGCCTACATGCAAGCTCCCTCCAAGGCTTCACCGATGCAGATTGGGCGGGAGAATTGAGCACACGCAAGTCCACCGGCGGCTACATCTTCCTCATGTGCGGTGCCGCTGTTTCTTGGCAATCACGCAAGCAAAGTTGTGTGGCGCTTTCTACAACCGAAGCCGAGTATATGGCAATGACAGAAGGAGCAAGGGAGGCAATCTGGTTACGTGGACTCGTGGAGGACTTGAGGCAGCCGCAAACTCAACCGACTCCGCTCTACGTGGACAACACTTCAGCCATCGCTCTTTCCAAGAACCCGGTTCATCATGGGCGTACAAAACACATCGAGGTGCAGTACCATTTCATCCATGAGCAACTAGACAAGGGAGTTCTCGCCGTCAACTTTTGCCGTTCATTCGATCAAGCAGCAGATTTCATGACCAAGGTTCTTCCACATGATGCATTCAACATGTGCAAGGCAAGAGCAGGCCTCATGACACTTCATGAAGCAGTGGAGCAGTTTGAGGAGAATGAGGAGTGTGAGGGGAAGAGACGTGGGCAGCAGCATGAAGTGTATGCTAAGGAGATGTGAAAGGAGCATCAACATGGGTGCATGTGTGCTTCGGGTCTGGTGCGAGGGGGAGTGTTGGAGAATCGAGTTTCTGCCGCCCCAGCCCTTTGCACACAAGCAGCAGCAAGGGGGAATGTCGGCGATGAATCAGAGGCTTCGGGAAGTACTTCGAAAGTTCCACCACCAATCAGATTTCAGCCGAAGGCTCGATACAGTTCAAAGCTGCCTTCAAACCGAAGTGTTGGCAGTTTCTACAGGTTTCTACACATCAGAATCAGCTATAACAGAAATATCCAGAGTTTTCTTATTCATGCACCTCATGTGGCACTCAAAGTCACTCAAGGTCCATCCAATCTAGATTGTGCCCAAGTTACCAGGGAAGTTACATGGTCTATCAGCCTAGTTTGAGCTTTCAATCTATCTTGTTTGTGATGCCTATGGTGTTGTGCTTTAGTGGGCTTGTTAATCTTGAACATAGTGAAGTTTTACCTCATCCAGTCAATTCCAGCAGCCCTGCTAAGACTTTCCAGCCAAGTTTCCAGCCCTCCAATAATCAGAGCTACTCTGTTTTACAAGTCTTCTAGCACATTTCTTCTCGATTTCTCTCCCGCTTCTCACGCCGTAGCCTCTATTCCCCACCGTAGGCCGATTTCCACCGTTTCACACACGCGCTTCCATTTCGCCGTCATTCCGCCGTCGTAGATGCTTTTGCCTTAGGTTCCGTGGTTGGGCGAACCAACCCTAACAAGTATACAAGACAGCACGTCATAATGACGCTACAATTGCATAGCATCGAGTAGACAGATATGATGGGGCGCTGCCATTCGCTCTTTGCGATAGACGTGCACCAACGAGTCCCCTCATGAAGTCCATGACCCCAACTTTCGCCCCGTGCCATGTGCAGGGCGTAGGGGCGGCTTGAAGGGCAAAGGGAAGTCACAACGGGTAGTTAAGGTGAGAGACCGCTCACGAGGTGACTGCCGCTACTAGCATAGCACTCGTGAAATGTGGTCTCAGGCAGTCGTTCATGCCACGGTGGTACTTGGCAGGTGACAGGTGACATTTGGCCTTGCTGCTCTCCATGGCTCCCAGGTCATCTTCTGGTCCCGTCCCAGGTCTCTCAACTGCCATCGGCTTTCCCCCTACGGTCTTGTCAAATCGCCTGTCAAACAAACATCCCGCGGTCCTCCTGCCTCTGCTTCTAACCCGGAGTCCTGCTGTTTGCGTCTCCGGTTGTGTATGGTGCTTCCCACCTTGCTGCCTGCTTGCCTGCGTGCTTGCCTGCGTGAGTCCAGGCAACGGAGTATCTGCCAGTGTTGCAGTATGACAGCACGCTACTCGCCAAGACCAACGGCACCCTGGGCAACACCATGGTCAACTACAGCACCTACCTCGACGACACAAGCTGGTTTTTGAGAATTCTAAAAAACCACCTCGACGACACAATCCGCCTCCCGTATACGCCGCACCGTGCCTCGCATGTTACTCGCTGCATGCCGCTCCCTGCACACGTATGAGCTGCTGCGCATCGCTCGTCCCTGTTCTCACCTCCAAGCATTGGTCTCCCATGCGGCTCCACCCATATCCCTAAACATTAAACCTCAAACCCCTTGCATCCTCCACACCGCCTGCAGCAACTCCCTCTCTCCCCTCTCGGGCACCCATCTTCCCATATCCCATCCCTTCACAAGTGCCATACCTTTCCATTTCCCTTCTCTCCCCTCTCACTCGCTCCCCGTTCTTCCGCCATCCTCCGCAACCTTTCTCCCCTTTCCCCTCCCCTTCTCCCCCCCGTTCCTCCCCTCTCATCATCCCCTCTCCTCCCCCCCACAGCAACGGGCACATCTCTCATTGCTCCCATCCACCAGCGTGTATCCGTACTATGTGGCGCTCAAGCTGGGGTCGCAGAAGCAGGAGTTCAGCATGGCGCTCAACGCGCAGCTGCGCCACACCTGCGTGCCCTGCGACTGCCTGCACTGCGCCTCCTCGCGCAAGGGGTGAGAGCGCTGCCGCCCACCCACGCCTAAGGGGGAGGGCAAGGGAAAGGAGAGGGTGGTGGCGGGTCTGGGACGCTGGGGCAGTGGGAGTGAGCGAGAGCGAGAGAATTCACTCTTGTTTGCACCCCCACCTTGAAGTACGCACTCTGACGAATCCCATTCGGCCTGCAAAAGCCAAACGTCTCCGCCCATCACTTCCTTTTTTATGGGATTCAGCTTCCTTTTCGTGCCTCACTTTTCCCTCTCCCCTCCCCGTCCCTGCCTACCAACCCATCCCCTTGCTTCCCTCCCTTTGCTTCCCTCCCATTGCTTCCCTCCCCTTGCTCCCTCTCCCTCGCCCCGCAGACGGCCAGCAGCAAGCCATTCAGCACCCTCTCTTCCACAACCCTCCAGTGCATCTCCTGCGCCGATCAGCGCTGCCAGGGGGGCGTTGAATCCAGCTACTATGGCTGCAACACGCAAGGGCTTCCCAACTACCTCAACTTCACGGGCGTGCTGCCTGGGGATGACGCTCTCTGCGTGTTTGATGTGTATGCAGAGAGTTATGATTATTCTGAAGCGGACACTGTTGCGGATTCGTTTCTCAAGTCTGCGGGGCATGTGGTGGAGGATACTGTTTACCTCACTGCACCTGGTGATACTGAAGCCCACCGATCCATCATTTTTGGGTGAGTCTCCATTGAGTGTGCACACTCTTTCCCGTGGTTCCTTTCTCACTCTCTCCCATGGTTCCTTTCTCACTCTTTCCCATGTTTCCTTTCTCACTCTTTCCCATGGTTCCTTTCTCACTCTCTCCCGTGGTTCTTCTTTGAATTTCTTTCTCTTTTCCGATCTCTCTGTCAGCTGTTCACCCCCTCCCGTGCGCTGCCTCTCACTCCTCTCTCCCAACCCCCACTGCCTTCCAGCTGTGGCGTGAACCAGCAGGGCTACTGGGGAATGCATGGGAGGTCCACTGGCTCATGGACAGCAGGCGGCGTGCTGGGGTTGGCGCAGGGCAGTCCCTTCCTGGAGCAGCTCACTGCCGGCACCAACTTCTTCGCCGTGTGTTTGGACGAGCCCACGCCCACGAATAAGACCAGCTGGGACGGCAAGGTGCAGCAGCACACGGGCAGCAGCCATCCCACCATCGGTGCTGTCGGCCTCCCTGCTGGCGCCAGCTACTCCACCTTGTAATTTCCCTGCTGATCCACGCCCTCCCTTGCTCTCTCTTTCTCTCGCTTCCCACCTGCTGCCTCGCTCTCTTTGTTTCCCTGTATGCGCACACTCCCTTACTCTCATTCTTCCCACTCGCATCCAAGAGTCGAAAGATGGCTTCTGGCTCCTTCACCTGCGCCTCTCGTCCCTCCCGTCTTTACCTTTCACCCGTCTCCCTTCCCGCCTGCTGCGGTCTACCGCTGCCCCCATTCTGCTTCTATTACTGCTGTTGTCGTATCTATCCATCATCCGCGCCCTCCCTCCCTTCGTATACAACCCCCCTCTCCCTTATGCAATCGCTCCCCACAGATCATATCCAACCGGCCTGCCCTACAGCCGCATCACGCTCACCACGGCCCCGCGCACCCTCAACATGACGGACGATCCAGCCAACATAGACCTCAACAAAACCTCCTTCATGCCGGCCGATGCCTCCGAGGATGACGTTCCGGGCTTCTTCTTCCTGCCCGAGTCCTTCGTGCATCTCATCCGCCTGCCTCTCTTCATAAGCCTCTGGTCTGCTGTACATTCCTACTCCTCAGCCATGCTTTCTTCCTTTCCGCTTGCATCAGCCTCTCTCCGCCGCTGTTGTTCTCTGCCTGCCTGTCTGATGGTGTTGCTGAGCCGACCCGGGACCTGGGCAATCTGAGCGTGTGAGTAGAGCATACATGATTCTCGTGGGCATTCTGCTACTACACATATTGTGTTGTGAGCTTTCTCGTGCTGCCAGTACTGGGATGATCTCGCTCTGATTGGATTAGCAGCTAAGAGCAACCCACACACCATAGGCCTCAGGCCTTGGTTCAAAGCGAAAGCAAAAGTTGAAGCAGATTGCAACCAATCATGGACTTGTTCCTTGCCGCTCAAATCACGGGCACGGGAACGGGTGCCATTATTGAGCTTGTAAAAGCAGTCATGTTTTGTTTTATAAGGTGGCTTGAAATTGGCCTCGCTCCAGACTTCTTAACCCTAAACCCTTGCCAAAGCAACAGGCCTTGCCAAAGCTGCCCATCTCAAGCTGCTCATGTGCCTGGTTATTTATGCACGTATTCTTCTCTAATTGCACCCTCCTACCCATGTGTGCATGTGCATGTTTGTAGCTCCAAAACATGACAGGGCATGAACTTGCGTTTCCTGTACTTGAAAATGACGAGTTTCTGCTTTTATGCTTCGAGTGCGTTTCCAACCTTTCAACATGTCTTGCTCATCTTCCCCACAAATTCCACCAACCCATTGTCAGTCCACCATTTCTCTCATGTCAATCCTTCCAAGCGCCTTCTTCCTCCATGCACATACCACCACACCGCAACGCACCAGCTCTCTGCTCCCTCCCTGTCATGCGGCCATTGATTCGAATGGAGTATTAAAACACGCTGCTACAAGGCAAGCAATACTGATCCTAAACCCTCTGACCCCTCTCTCGTCCGTCCTCTGACCCCTCTTTGTTTCCCTTTCCCCCGTCACTCGCACAACAATGCTCCTCGTACAGGAACAAGAACAAGGAGGAGGATCCGTTCAGCACCTTCCCCACCATCGACATTGCTTTCCTCTCTCCAGACGACAGCAGCGCCACCTCCCACTTCTATCTCAAGCGGCGCAAGTACCTCGCCCAGGTATCTCATTATGCCTGCCCCCACTCATTACCATGCCTGCCCCTCCCGTCCTCCCATCCATGTTCAATACTTGATTCTCACGCTCTTTTTTCTCTAGTTTCGAGAGGCCTCATATTTTCCTTTCCGCTTCCTTGTTTTTCTCTCTTCTCCCTTCCCTCCTCCCTCCTCTCTCCTCTCTCCCATCTCAACACACATCACGTGGTGGGGTCATCCCTGTGCTTCGTGCTCCACTCTGCCATGCCATCCCAGCCCCCCTTCACCCGAGTCTCGTTGCCAGAACGCTTGCTGAGTCGCTGGATCTCTGAGTACCACTTGGGCAAGTTGAGACCCCCCACGTGCCACTCATTAAGGCTCTTCCCCAATCCCATGCGCCCCTACAGGTTTCGGCTTCTCGATACTGCGTCTTGGTCACCTATTTTAATCCCAAGAATAACTACGCCAGTTACATTGGAGGTAATGGGTTGGGCTCATGCGTGCTCTCTACTCTGGCTTCCCTTTTGCCAGCACCTTCCTTCCCCTTTCCCACCCATCACTCCTCGCAACACGCCTATGCATAGGTATGAGTGTTGACCCATACCTATGCATGCAACCTACTAGTTTGAGCAAACATAGACTGGATGGCTGCGCTGAACTCGACAGGCTTAATTCTGGAGCCCCCACGTACAGAACGCCAGGTGGTCCATCACACCAGTCCTTACCTTATCTCCATGCTCCACTCCATGGTTGCCATGCTCCACTGTTTTTCCCTTGCTACCTTCTCATTCCGCCACCCCACACGTTCTCCCTTTCCGCTGCCCTCCTCTGCGGGTGCATCGTGCATGTGGTGGTGGCGCTGAGCAGAGCCGGGGCTGTTCAACAAGTATCTCTTTTTCAACTACACCAACAACTCTGTCGGATGGCTTCAAGCTCCTCAATGTAAGCTGCCGTTCACCTTGCCTGCAACGCCTGCCCTGCCCTGCCGCTACGCCACTCCACCACATGTAGCTGCCCCTTGAACCTTTCGTCCTGTGTACATTCATTAACATTGCTTGCCGTGCACATCAAGCACCTGCTACTGCTGTCGCTGTGGTGTTCCATTTCAAGCAGGTACGTCCTTGCAACAGCGTTTGCACTCCCACCAAGTGCTCTGATTTTATCTGCGCAGAACAGTCATATCCAAAACCTGTGGGGTTGCTTGTTTGCTTGCTTGCATGCAACATATTGGGAGTGCATGCTCGCTATCTCAAGATCTGCCACCTCCACCACTGCTCAAATCTGCCAATTGTTGAACTTTCTTTTGCCATGTGCTTCCTGCTCTCCCACCTCACTCACCTCGCACAACTTTCTGTCGATTCCCTCTCCTCTCCCCTCCTCTCCTCCCCTCCCCTCCCCTCACTTCCCTTCCCCCTCATCCCAACAGGTGGAGCTGAGCCCCTACTGCCTCCACCTTCTCCGCCTCCCTCAGGGGGCACCTCTTCCAAAGGGGCCACGCGCTCCCTCTCCCTGGTGGCGGCAGCAGTGGGTGTCGTCGCCACTTCCACTGCCCTACTTGCTCTCGCTCTCCTCTAGAGCCTGCATTCATCCTGCAGCGCTTCAAGCCTGAGTCGACTCAAGAGCATGCACTCTTGTATTGTACTTTGTCCCTGCCCTGCTCGTGGGAGCTGACTTGTGAGAGCGCTAGCGTTGGAACTACTGTAAGCTGATTGAGTAACGGATTTGTTTAGAGGCATAGTGGAACACTTCCAAATGTTCTCTATAAAAGAAGATACTGGACTAATATAGATTCCAAAAAAGGTCCTCGGGTCCTGTAGCTAACAAAATCAGGTTGGACATTTTTAGGGTTGAAGTTCTTGTATTAGAGTAGGCGGAGAGAAATTATGGAGAAACGTTGGACTACCGTAGCAGCTTCAGAATTTTGTCCCAAGAATATCAAGCCCAGCAAAACCAGCATACGGGTATGTATAGCATATTCGTTAAGCTTGTCTAATTTGTAGACAGCGATAAATTGGAAGTGCAGGAGCCTAGAGCGTTTGCTATTGTAGAATGTGCGTTTGTTTAGAAAGACACGTGGAGGGTCTATATGTTCCACGTCAGTTTAGCACGGGGATCAACGCCCATGTTTATCGGATCTCCACGCGGGTTCCAAGCTTTCAATTGGCTGAACGAACTTTATTCGGCGTCAGTTTCCACGCATCTGTCGTTTTTGTTCTCCGCTCGAATATACAAGATGGACGGCGATGGTGGACGTAGGTCTGGGATCGACGCTGTAAATTGCACGGTAACCCCTCAGTGAAATCGTGCAGCCACAACCGCAAGCACTCGAAGGTTTTGCGGAACCGTCTTTTGCCTTGTGGATCCGCCACGTGGCTCTGATTCACAAGGCATTGTTCGTGCCTGACGGCCTTCAAATCAAAGCTGACAACCATTGCTTTGTTAAATAACGTCTCCATACCTTCGTGAAGAATTGGGAGGAGTTCAATCGGGCCAGTTCGATCTCATTTCCTGCATCTGGCGATTCTCACTTCACAAAAATGGCAGCCACCTCTGCCTCTCTTGCAGGTCAGGCTGTCCTCAATGGTGCAGCCCCCATTGATCTGCATCCAACTTCTGTGAAGAGCTCTTTTCTGCAGAGCGTTAAAGTTCTGGGATGTCCTCGGCCTGGAAGGCTTTCTGCCAAACCCATGAGATCTCCTGCTATGATTCGTAGTGTTGCAAGCGAGCCGAAACAAGCCAGCGAAGGTGATTTCCGCATACTCGCACATGTGGATTCTTTTCTGGATACTAGTCTCTCTCCAACCGTCCTTCCCATCTGGAGATCATGTATTCGTAATTTCTTGTCTTAATCTTGTCTCGTAATATTGTTTTTGTTCCTGTTCTTTATGCAGTCCCTCCGGTGGCAAGCCCATTGGCCGATTCGTCCGATGTCCTTTCCGTTGCCTCCAGCGTGAAGTACCACAAAGATTTCACACCGCTCTATTCCCCGGCTGCATCGTCCTCACCCCAAGCTGCATACGTAGCCACAGCACAGAGCATTCGTGACACTCTTATCGAACGGTGGAATGAGACCGCCGATCACTTCAACAAAACCAACGGGAAGGAGGTCGCCTACGTCTCGATGGAATTTCTGCAGGTCAGTTGTCTTGCTTGTGTTATTTACAGCATATATTTTATTCAGCGTCTGATGGCCTTCGTACTGTCTAGTTCAGGGCCGCGCTTTGATCAATGCGTTGGGTAATCTGGAGCTCACTGGTTCTTACGCGGATGCTCTGAAGAAGCTTGGAGTGTCGCTTGAGGACCTTGTTGAGCAGGTGTGACGGTAACCATCATTTATATTTGTAACGTCTTAGGGTTTTGGATTCGTATTGATTCCACGTTTTCTATCTTCCAGGAGCCCAATGCTGCTCTGGGTAACGGTGGTCTTGGGCGTCTCGCCTCATGCTTCCTTGACTCAATTGCTACACTGAACTACCCTGGCTTTGGTTATGGCCTGAGGTATAAGTACGGCCTGTTCCGTCAAGAGATCACTGAGGACGGGCAAAAGGAGTACGCCGAGAATTGGCTGGAGGTGGGCTCGTATTTTTAACTTGATGCCTCCAATTTCAAATATTTTTTATTTGTGTTATTAAGGTGGTTCTATTCTTTTTGCAGACCGAGTATCCGTGGGAGGTGGTCCGTCACGACATTCACTATCCTGTCAAGTTTTTTGGTCATGTCGAAGATGGTCCTGATGGCAGGAAGAAGTGGGTTGGAGGCGAGAACATGAAAGCCCTCGCCTACGACCTTCCTATTCCAGGATACAAGTATGTGCAGTCATTCCGCTGGTCTTGGCTGCGATCGTTGAATCTTCCGTATTTGTAACAGCGATTGTTACTTATCGTGGACAGGACCAAGAACACGATCAGCTTGCGCATGTGGTCGACTGAGATCCTGGCTTCTGACTTCGATTTGGCAGCATTCAACGCTGGCGAGCATGATCGCGCTGTTGCCGGACAAGCCAGTGCCGACAAGGTCAGCATTTTGCATAAAAATGTCAATTCTGTCAAGCGTACAGATGTTGGTGCTAACATAATTACTACTGCTGTACATACGAAACTCAGATTTGCGCGGTTCTCTACCCTGGGGACGGATCCTACGAGGGAAAGATGCTCCGTCTTAAGCAACAGTACCTCCTCTGCTCGGCCTCGCTCCAGGTAGCTTAAGTTTCCATTTTTCAACGAGAGATAACTACCGGAAGGATTCCAAGTTAACGATCCTATCTCGGTCCGTCGTTCCTTGTTTCTTCAGGATATCCTTGCTCGTTTTGAGGCTAGGAACGGCCCGAATTGGCAGCTGCTGCCCCAGAAGGTAGCCCTGCAGATGAACGATACACATCCCACTCTCGCTGCTCCTGAGCTTATGAGGATATTGATCGACGAGAAGGGTCTCAGTTGGGACGAGGCCTGGAAGATTACTCAGGGGTATGTAATTCATTATACTGTGCGTAGCAGCTGTAGCTGACTAGGCTCGTCAATCGCACTGGAAACACTAACTGCTTGTTCGAAATGTTCAGGACTGTCGCCTACACCAATCACACCGTGCTTCCCGAGGCTCTGGAGAAGTGGTCCCAGGACCTGGTGAAGAAGTTGCTGCCGCGTCATTTCCAGATCATCCAGCGCATTGACGAGGAGGTGAGTGAACGTGCAAGCTGTAGTATAATGTGTCCAGAGGAAGCAAGTGCAACAAATACAGTTCCCCAGCAGTCTAAAAACGTGCGACTGCTGTTTGAAACCATCAACGAACCGTAATTGCAAATCAACCTTACCTGCACGTTCACCCATGTTAACATCCCAACAGTTCATTGATCTCGTGGTGAAGACTGTTGGTCTCGGAGACCTTCCGCTGCTGGTGAACAAGATTCAGAGTATGCGCATTCTTGACGGGTCTGATTTCCCCCCCAAAGTGAAGGCTCTTATCGAGGCAAAGCAGAAAGAGAACGAGGAAGCTGAAGCAGCTGCCGAGGCTGCAGCCAAAGAAGCTGCTGTGTCAAAGGCAGCTGAGGATGGTACTCACGTTGAGAAGGAACCGAAAAAGGCCAAGAAGGAGAAGGAAGAGCTGCCGTACGTTAAGGGGCCAGAGGTGGTGCGCATGGCCAACCTTTGTGTGATTGCTGGGCATGCTGTGAATGGTGTGGCAGAGATTCACAGTGACATTGTCAAGGACGAAGTCTTCAATGACTTTTACCAGGTGAGTCATAGAGAAGTGTAACTTTCTGCATGGTATACAGGTAGTCATTGTTCGTTGACTAACATATTATTTCGATTGTATGTTCCTTGCAGCTCTGGCCGGAGAAGTTCCAGAACAAGACCAATGGTGTAACTCCTCGCCGTTGGATAAAGTTCTGCAACCCTGAGCTCAGTGCAGTCATTACCAAGTGGCTGGGCTCTGATGACTGGGTCTTGAATGCTGACAAGCTTTCTGGCCTTGCTAAGGTATTTGTTTGGAGCTAGCGCATGTGCTTATTCAGTCTGCAGGTGTGGAATGTGCTGGTTCTTCAGTTTTCGTTGTGCTATACTGACAAGCTCGTTTTTCCTACTTTTCTTTCAGTATGCTGACAACGCGGACCTTCAGAAGGAGTGGATTGCTGCCAAGCGTGCCAGGAAGGAGATATTGGCTGCATGGATCAAGGAGAAAACTGGTTATACGATTAACCCTGATGTCATGTTTGACATCCAGGTGAAGCGCATTCACGAGTACAAGCGACAGCTTCTCAACATCTTGGGAGTTGTGTACCGTTACAAGAAAATGAAGGAGATGTCCCCAGAGCAGCGCCGCGCGCACTTTGCTCCTCGCGCCGTGATTTTTGGTGGCAAGGCTTTTGCCACATACGTCCAGGCGAAGAGGATTGTGAAGTTCATCTGCGATGTGGCCAAGACTGTGAACAATGACCCTGAGATTGGTGACTTGCTCAAGGTGAGAAATTCGAAACTTCACTAATAGCTTGCCAGGGATGCTCATTGTCTAAGCAAACCTAACTGTGTACTGATTTTGCAGGTGGTATTTGTTCCTGACTACAATGTCAGCGTGGCAGAGGTTCTCATCCCAGCAAGTGAACTGTCCCAGCACATCAGGTCTGTTTCTAATTCCTGACTTTGCCTATTTCGTTTGGCTCTGTGTGTGACCTTGTTTCAAAGTGCATTTTTTCTTTTCTTTTTCTTCCAGCACTGCTGGCATGGAGGCAAGTGGAACCAGCAACATGAAGTTTGTCATGAACGGTTGTCTCCTTATTGGCACTCTTGATGGTGCTAATGTTGAGATTCGTGAGGAGGTTGGAGAGGACAACTTCTTTCTCTTTGGTGCTCGTGCTGAAGAGATAGCAGGGCTGCGCATTCAGCGTGCTGAGGGCAAGGTAAGTGGATATGCCTGAAATTCCTTTACATGGTAAGTGGTTATCGTGTGCCATCCTTATGCTAATCTACAACTGTTTGTGCAGTTTGTGCCGGACCCCCGGTTCGAGGAGGTGAAGGCATTTGTGCGATCAGGCGTCTTCGGCTCCTACAACTATGATGAGTTGATCGGTTCACTGGAGGGCAATGAGGGTTATGGACGAGCTGATTACTTCCTCGTGGGCTATGACTTCCCGGCCTACATTGAATGCCAGGACAAGGTCGACGAGGCCTACCGCAATCAGGAGGTAAGATACTTTGCCATCACTTCTTTGATGTCGAAATCTGGAATCATGCTAATTGGCTGTGCTACTATTGATTGCAGAGGTGGACTAGGTCTTCCATTCTCAACACTGCCTTCTCCGGCAAATTCAGCAGTGATCGTACCATTCGCGACTATGCTAACGAGATCTGGGGGCTGGAGGCATCGCCTATGCCATGAAGAATCTGAATGTAGCTGAATTGTGGAATAGACTTATGCACATGTTCTTTGGTCCGTCGCCATTTTCACCTTCTAAGCAATATCCATGATAATTCATCGTAACCATCTGCCCTCAAACATCTCAGGTTCTGGGTTGAATGGTAGTATACTTCTATATGTTGCTAGTGCGGATTGATATATACCATATGTATCCCTCTCCAGACCAGACTCCTGAAGAAAAACCTTAAAATGAAAAGTTGATTTAATAGTCGAATGATACCTTACCTGTCCCTTCCCTAATACGAATCTTAAAGAAAATTTTACAGAAATGTGGCCATTACAATCATGATTGCCATCATTACTTGCTATACCACTTGTAAGTGTACAGGCCAGGAACTCTAAGTGGGTGGATATCTATCCAGGTGAATACGATTTCACTTACCTAGCACCCTATTGCACAGGCTAGAAGCAAATTACGGTAACAGGCTTTTAAGCAGGGTCCTTTCCGCACATAGGACATCTACTGTCCCTTCCTATTCATTCACAACAATCCAACTTGCACACTGTCTTCAACCGATCTTGTTAACCACAGTCTGGTGTAGTGACCGCAACTGAGCAGACCATTTGTCCAGGGCAGTGTATGTCCGTTGACCTCTCGACCTGAAAACAAGCAGCGGTTGGAGGCAACGTTGAAGGACAGAGCATACCAAGACACCTGATTGGCCAATATAAAACACGATGGTGCTTGGCACAGGTGCAACTCTACACCCACAAGCAGTGGCAGATTAAAAAAAAAAAACCCCATCATCACCTGTCACCGAGTTCCAGCAGCTGGTTGACTTGGTCTATGTGGCCATGCACTCTGTTGTCAAGAATCAAGGACACCAGCAGCTGCTCCACATCCTTCTCAGGGATGTTCAGCTCCTGAACACCATCATGGGAGGAAGGAGGAGGGAGAGACGACGGAGCGAGAGGCGGCATACGCAGGAAGAGAGGAATGTTGAGTGAGGGGAAAGAGAAGGGAGAAGGAAACAGTAAGGGAGAGTTGGGTTTTGCAAGGGGATCACGAAGGTTCCACCAACGGTCCACGAAGGGCAGGCAAGGCTCACCTTGGAGACAAAGGGGATGCGGATGCGAGTGTAGGGCTTGATGAGGCGCAGCAGCACCTGCGTGCGGATGTTCTTGAGCAGGTCCTCAATGTACATGCGGATAAACGGATCGTCCATTATCGTACGCCGGTTGCTCTGCTCCCACACACACACATACGCACACGCCCACATGCGTGTCCACAGGCAGAACCGCACAGACGTGCACACACGCAAGTAGAGAAGCTCAAACAAGCAGCAAAAGATTAGATGTTCAATGTGCAAGGACAAAAGTTAAGTGTTAATCACGTGTTCCAAGCAGCAAGGCCAACAGAGACTCGTATCAGCGGTTAAGGGAGCACAACATATGATTCCTAAGACTCTCCATGAAGGGAGGTTATGAGGAATGCGAAAAGTGGATGGCAGAGTGTTTGGTGATGTTAATTGCAGCATACAGTGTGCGACTGTTGGCATGTGACACTTGACACTTGGCACGTGGGGCATGTGGCTCTTGGCATGTGGCTCTTGGCATGCAGCGTGGAACATGCCATACACATCGCACGTGACAGACACAAATCTCCATCTCCTCCCCCACCACCGAGCCCCTCACCTTGAGAATCTTTTCAAACTCCAGAATTTCATTGCGCTGATATGCAGCCACTAGGTTTGTCATTGCCAGAATCTCCTTGTCGTTCTTGTACCTGGCGAAAGTTGCCGGGTAACAGAAGCAGCAGGACAAGGGCAGTTTGCGTGAGGGGAAAAGGGAGTACGAACAGGGAAATGCTTATGACTTGCACAACACACTCTCAGCTCCTTCTCTCGAACAGCACGAGCAACAGTTGCGTCTGTGACTTGCCGGTTCAACAAACCCACCCACTCCACCCTTCTACAACAACCCAACCCAACCCAACCAAACCAGATTGACAGCCTCTGGCCTCTAGCCCCAAAGCATGCCCCCCCTTGCTCACGGCTTGGCTTCCTGTGCGTCAAACGGATCCACCTGTGACTCCATGAGCATGTTCGCCAGCACTAGGTACCTGCACAGGGTCATCGGGTGAACAGCGTGAATCATGGGGCATGGGGCGTGGGGGAGTGGGGAATGAAATGAGGCATAGGGCATCTCACTTGGGCATGGGCATGGGCATGGGCATGGGCATGGTCATGGGCATGAGCATGCGCATGGGCATGGGCATGGGCATGGGCATGGGCATGGGCATGGTCATGGTCATGGTCATGGGCATGGGCATGGGCATGGGGCATGGGCATGGGCATGGGCATGGGCATGGGCATGGGCATGGGCATGGGCATGGGCATGGGGCATGGGCATGGGCATGGGCATGGGGCATGGGCATGGGCATGGGCATGGGCATGGGGCATGGGGCATGGGGCATGGGGAACGGGGCATAGGGAACAGGGCATGAGGCATGGGGCATGGGCCATGAGGATTAGTACTGGCAAGCATGAAGTGGCATTCACGTTCGTTGATCGTGTTCGTGAGAGTGCAGAGTTGATGGTGTGTATTGAGCATTACTTTGTCGAATAACTGAAAGGGGTGGAAAGAGATCGTGGTTGGTGAAGAAAAAGTGCACGGGTCGAGATTACTGTGTCCATAAGTTGGAATTCATGCCCACACACCAAGCTTGAAGGTGCGCTCTGCCAAACAGCCCACTGAATAATCATTCCCTTACCTTCAGCAAGCACCCCCCTCCCCAGGTCAACACAACAACCCCTCTCTTCCATCAACCCCCTTCCCCCAGCATCCCCTTCCCCCAGCATCCCCTTCCCCCAGCATACCCTTCCCCCAGCATCCCCTTCCCCCAGCATCCCCTTCCCCCAGGTCACCCCCTCCCCCAGCATCTCCTTACCCCAGCATCCGCCTCCCCAAGCATCCCCCCCCACCCGCATGCAGGCACGCACTTGAGGCATTGGATGCAGCGCTGCGCGCCCGCCTCATCGTAGTTCTTGAAGGCCTCAAAGAAGCCCGTGGCGGGTTGAAGCCCACTGGATAATCACTCCCCTGCCTTCATCAACAAACTCTCCCCAGCAACCCTCCTCCCGCACCAACACCCTCCCCAACCAAAGCTTTCCCTTAAAACCCAAAACCTGAATCCCCAGCTACCACCCCCTCCCCCAGCACCCCCTTCCCATCCCCTTCCAGGAGACACACACACACACACACACACACACACACACACACACACACACACACACACACACACACACACACACACACACACACACACACACACACACACACACACACACACACACACACACACACACACACACACACACACACACACACACACACACACACACACACACACACACACACACACACACACACACACACACACACACACACACACACACACACACACACACACACACACACACACACACACACACACACACACACACACACACACACACACACACACACACACACACACACACACACACACACACACACACACACACACACACACACACACACACACACACACACACACACACACACACACACACACACACACACACACACACACACACACACACACACACACACACACACACACACACACACACACACACACACACACACACACACACACACACACACACACACACACACACACACACACACACACACACACACACACACACACACACACACACACACACACACACACACACACACACACACACACACACACACACACACACACACACACACACACACACACACACACACACACACACACACACACACACACACACACACACACACACACACACACACACACACACACACACACACACACACACACACACACACACACACACACACACACACACACACACACACACACACACACACACACACACACACACACACACACACACACACACACACACACACACACACACACACACACACACACACACACACACACACACACACACACACACACACACACACACACACACACACACACACACACACACACACACACACACACACACACACACACACACACACACACACACACACACACACACACACACACACACACACACACACACACACACACACACACACACACACACACACACACACACACACACACACACACACACACACACACACACACACACACACACACACACACACACACACACACACACACACACACACACACACACACACACACACACACACACACCACACACACACACACACACACACACACACACACACACACACACACACACACACACACACACACACACACACACACACACACACACACACACACACACACACACACACACACACACACACACACACACACACACACACACACACACACACACACACACACACACACACACACACACACACACACACACACACACACACACACACACACACACACACACACACACACACACACACACACACACACACACACACACACACACACCACACACACACACACACACACACACACACACACACACACACACACACACACACAACACACACACACACACACACACACACACACACACACACACACACACACACACACACACACACACACACACACACACACACACACACACACACACACACACAGCACGCACTTGAGGCATTGGATGCGGCGCTGAGCGCCGGCCTCGTCGTAGTTCTTGAAGGCCTCAAAGAAATCGGTGGCGGCGTCGGTCCAGGAGCGCTCCGCCATGTGCATCTTGCCGCCGCACTCGTGGATGATGCCCATGATGCGCGGGTGCGGTATGGCCGACTTGATCGCCAGCGCCTTGTGGTACAGCTCCTGGCATGGGGAGAAGGAGGAGGGGAGAGAAGGGAGGTGGGGGGAGAGGAGAGAAAGGGAGCAGTGGTGGGCGGGGGACCAAGGGAGGGGGGGCGATGGGTGAGAGGACAGTGGGGATTAGGAAGGGGTAGATGGGGGATGAGTGTTGGTGTATCAGAAGAACAAATTGATTCGATTCGTCAGACCACATGTTCCCGCTTGGCAGACGCTGAAGGCAGGAAACCAAAACCCTGCCAGCACTAGAAAACAAGGGGTGAGTCAGAGCAGCAACCAGGAATTAAGTTGGGTAGGTGCATGGGTGAGCGTAGCTTGGGGAGAGGAGGAAAGGGGGAATTAGGAGGGAGAGGGAGAGGCACACGTTTGTGGGTGCTGTGTGTGTGTGTGTGTGTGTGCGCGCGCGAGAGCAGCAGCAGCAGCAGCAGCAGCAGCAGCAGCGAGGCACCTTGAGCTTCTTGTTGTTCTTGGTCTCGGAGTACATCTGGATCTCAATGGCATACACCTCCAGCAGATGCGTGCGTGTGAGTGTGCGCGCGCGCGTGAGAGCATGAGAGCAGGCAGCTCACCTTGAGCTTCTTGTTGTTCTTGGTCTCGGTGTACATCTGGATCTCAATGGCGTACACCTCCAGCAGCTGCGTGCCCTTCTTCTGGTCGTCCGTGCCATCGTCCTTCTGACACGACTTGTGCAGCTCCTTCAAGATCTGAAACACAGGGTGGGGGAAGGAGGGTTGGAAGGGGGCGGGGGGGAGGGGAGAGGGGGAAGTTGACCAGGAGAGGGTTTGACAGGGAGAGGGTTGTGGTAGCAAAGTGGATAGTGAAGAGAGGGAGCGGACTGAGAGAGAGCGGGAACCGGAAGAGCAAGTGCGTGGAAAAGAAGGCGTGCAAAAAGCAATGGAGGAACAGCCAAGCACATGCATGCATGGCAAAACGGGGGAATCGACGAGTCATAACAACTGTTTTTTCAACCACTCCCGTCCTAAGCTCAAACGTCCACCACTAGTCAGCTCCATCTCCACATTCTCTCCGTTTATCCATCCCAATCCAGAACCAACTGTCGCCCAATCTCAATCTATGGAAAAGCCTACCCTGGTAGGCACCGTCCCACCTGACTCCTCCCCCAGTCCCCCCTCGAATAGTCTCTACCTATCTACCAACCTCCCCCCCTCTCTCTCTCTCTCGCGTGCGCACCTTGCTCATGCGGCCGTACTCCCCCAGGTCGAACCACAGCTTACACAGCTTCAGGTTCGTCTTGAACCACAGCCGCTGGTGTCACCACGGCAGGGGCAGCAAGGGACAGGGTTGGGACGCAGAAAAGAGGAGTGTGAGGGAAGAAAAGGAGGAGGAGAGAGGGTGGTACTGGGAAAGTGGGCCAGGGAGGGCGAGGATAAGGGATGAGGGGGAACGAGCACAGGGGTAGGTAGAAAGCAGCGCTGAGGCGATTCAACAGACTGAGAAGGGTGAGAGGAGAAATTCGAGATTGAAACGTGTACTGGACAAGTCACTTACAGGAGGAGCAAGCCGTCCCCTCATTGCTCCCCCTCACCTCGCTCACCACCAGCTCAGCTTCCTTCCAAAGCGCCTCAATAACTCCCTTCCCATCCCACACACACACCCCCATCGCTCCCCTGCCTTCATCTCACCGCAACCTCACCACCACATCTTTCCCCCCACCCACCCCTCTCCTACTTGCTGCTCCCTCCCGCTCTCACCTCGTCTCTTCCTCCCCCCGAACTCTCCCATCCTTCCCCTCTCTCCCACCTTTCCCTCTCCCAATCTCCTCTATCCCAACCTCGCCCCGAGCTTCACACTCCAATCTGTTTCCCAGGTTCCTCACAAACCGACTCACTGTAGAACCCCCAGCACCACCCTTCACCTCCCTCCATCACTCCTCCCCCGCTTTCCTCGCTTCCCCTGCCCACCCACCTCGTTGCGCGCCTCTTCGAGCGCCAGCAGCGTGGTCTGGTAGAACTCCTGCAGCAGCTCGAGGTTCTGGCTGGTGCTGACCACGTCCAGGATCTTGTTGATGCACTTCTCGCTGTAGTTGCGCGTCACGGCGGAGCGGATGTACGTGAGCATCTCGCGATACGCCGCCATCATCTCCGCCACCCGCCCCTCCCTGTAGTGCAGCTTCACCGTCTGCTTCAGCGCCTTGAAACCCCTGGAAAAAAGGGGGGGAGAAGAGTGGGCGGCGGAGGGAGAGGGGAGGGTAGGGGGAAGAAGGGAGGAAGAGGAGTTGGGGTAGTGGGGGGGAAGAAAGGAGGGGAAGGGGGAGAGAATGGGGGGAGGGAGGGAGAGAGAGAGAGTCGGTGGGGAGAAACGGAAGGAGGGGGGGGTGTGTGTGGTGGATATAGGAGAGAGAGTGTGGGATGAAGGGAAGAAGAGTGGGCTAACCCTCTTCACTTGAAGAGGGCAAAGCAAAGCGGAAACGAATGCAAGAAAGAGTGCAAGAGTAAGTGCGGGAGAGAGGAGCGCACGTGCTGGCTGGTGCACGTGCAGGAGCACACCACACACACACACACACACACACACACACACACACACACACACACACACACACACACACACACACACACACACACACACACACACACGTACCACTCGCCCTTCTCCCCCTCCATCTGCACCACCTCCGCAAAGCCCGCTAGCGCCGCCTCCGTGTCCCGCTCCACTAGCCCTGCCGTTCCATGCGCGGCGTGGGGGACGGGGAGTGGGTAGGCGGAGGGGAAGGTTGGGGGGAAGAGGGGGACGGGGGAAGAGGGGGACGGGAGGAGAGGGGAAAGAAGGAGAAGAAGGGGGGACAATGCGTTAAGAAGGGGGTGGGGGTGGTTCTTATGAGGGAAGCGAGGAGGGGCAGGAAGAGGAAGCGCTGAAGGGAAGAGGAGGGGCAGGGGGCAAATCCACGTCAGCTACGGAAGCACCCAATGGAACACGAGGGAGCATATGCGAGGATATGCAGTGCGCATAAGGAATCACACGAAAGCGATCATAAAACGGACCGTTACCATCACAGTCGGCACGGCTGTCACTGATACCTTTGGAGTTGTAGTACTGATTCTCAATGTCAACATCCTGCTCCTCGGGCTCGTCGTCCGAGTACTCGAATCCGTAATCCTCCATGTCTGCTTCCAGATTAGGGTTAGGGTAGGATCAAATCCGACCAATGACGACGCGAAGGATGGTAAACGGGAAGGGATCGTGATGAAGGGAAACAAGCGGGAGGGATTTTGATGAGGAGGAGAGGAGGGTCGATCAATTCGGAATCTAGCGAAGAATCACATCGGGATTCGAACTTGTTATCTCCTAACCGCAGTGGAACTCGTATTGCCTGACCACGTTGTGACACATGAACGGACAGGAATCCTTTCGTCCGCTGCAAGGGGAAATCAGATGCCGATATGAATGCGATCGAACGGACCGATGCCGTGCCAAGGCGAAATCGCAAAAATATTGCATCCGAAATAAATCGCATGGCAAGTACGTGCGCGTGATCAGTCTGCGTGTAGAAGGTAAGGGACGTCGAGGCGCACCTTCATCCGCCATGGCTGCTAATCGTCGAAATCAGCAGCCTGGAGTCCCGGAAAATGAACAAAAAAACGCCGGGAAGGGAGGTCGACAAGACCAATACGGCAGCTAAAAAGCTACTTGGGAAGCGGCAACCCGAGGAATTTTAGGGAGGTAATTTACATAAGTCGGACTAACCGAACCAACTCGTTCTCGGTGGTCTGCAGTAGGGCATTATAGTTCCTGAGTTGGAAGCTTATCCAGAAGTGGCCTAGTCAGTAGAAAGAGGCACTTCCGATAGATGAGGTCCTGGGATCGAACCCACCCCCGTGTAGGCGTGTTCTGCCAGCCCGAAGTAGGGGTTAGCACGTGCTCATCTAGGAATGGATACCCTAAAATTGGTTACGACCAGAAACATAACCTTGACCTAACCTTAATCCTGAGGTGTGTTATGAGTTGTAAAAGAGAGTGCGCGGAATAACGAATAACGAAGATGTGACTCAATGAACTGACAATACAATGAAGGCACGCGCTAATATAGTGGACCAACCTAGCTAGGCGGGAACCTCGGGAACACGAGGTTGGGTGCAGGTTGGGCAAAGGCAAGGCCGAAGGCGACGCGAGGTTGCTTCGGCAGCAAGCGAAGTGGCCGAACGTGCACTTCCGAAAGTTGGGGTTGTACGCGGTTGAGTAAGAAAGGTGGTCAATATCCGCAGCTCGCCTGCGGGCGAGGTAATCACCAAGAAGCGGAGAAGCTTCAAGCGATGCGGATGGCACCCAAGTGTCGTCCTCACTGGTGCGGTCAGTCCAGCGGATTAAAAAATCCATGTGGCGTCCAGAAGCGTCGAGCCGAACACGATGCGCCAAAATCTTGGACGGGTCAAGCGTCGGTTCTGGGACAGGTCGGGTTGTCGGGGCGGCGTTCTGGCGCGCGATGTTCGTCGTGGCAGGCACGAACTTGCGAAGGAGGCTGACATGGAAGGCATCATGTATACGCCAATCGTCGGGTAGCAGCAGCTTCGCGGTGACAGGTGTCACCATCTTGATGATCTTGAAAGGCCCACAAAATCGTGGCCGTAGTTTCTGTCAGAGGTCCACTGGTGATCCCCGTTTGATCCTAGGGAAGGGTTACAGGCACGGTTGCCTGGGGGGTTATGGGCGCACTGACCCGCTACTTAAACAAGCCCTTTTATCCCAGTGGTCTAGTGGCTGGGATTCTGAGAGTTTCGATGGGCCGGGCAGGTGCAGGTTCTTCGTGTCAAGTAGCACTAGTTGCCCAGCTGCCAAGACGAGTCCCCGTCGTAGAAGGTCGGTGTATTTACGGGAAGTGGTATTCGCCTTGCGAATTGCGTCCGCAGCCTTTTCGCGAACTTCCTGAAGTTCCGTCACAAATGTTTGTGACCTCGGGACCGTGTTGTCGAGTGTAGTCGTTGTAGGCACCGTCGGGTCCATCCCGTGATTTAAGAAGAACGGGGAGTGATTAGTTGTGCTGGACGAGGCGTTGTTAAACGCAAACTCCAGCATGGCGAGCGGGTTTTCCCAGCGAGTGGGGTCCGAGCAGTTTGTCCTGATCAGCTGCTCCATAGTCTGATTGGTGCGCTCGGTCTGGCCGTCCGTTTGCGGGTGGTATGCCGATGAGAACTGTAGCTTCGTGCCGTACTGCGCCCACGTCTCCTTCCAGAATTTCGATGTGAACTTCGGGTCCCTGTCGCTGATGATCGCCGCGGGGATTCCGTGCAGTCGCACGACTGTTGAGATGAAGAGGCGCGCAGTTTCTTCGGCTGTGATTGTCGTACGACACGGTGCGAAGTGCGCCATCTTCGTGAGGCAATCGACGACGACAAGAACCGCGTCGTTGCCGGACGGCTCAGCTGGCAGCTGTTGGAATCACTGAACAGGAATGAATGAACTAGCAGTGAAATGAGTACAAGTACCTAGCCCTAGAATTGTGTACCCCCTATAGGCTAACCCACTGTAGCCTATACTAACACAACATATGTAATGTTTGACACACCCCCATAGGCAAAGTGGGGGAGAACTAGGGGTCACAAGACCAGTCAAAGCAAAGCGAGGCAAAACAAGCTCAGGGTGGATCTCAAGGATACCACACAAATTCCGAGCACAAGCAAGTGGTCACAAGACCAGTTCACATGCAGGTTTATAATAGAGCAAAAGGTACAATGATCACAACCTAACAAGAGTAAACATGCAGGTATATATATAGAGATCACAGTACAAACAGACTCAAGAAGTAAGCAAGTGAGGTCCAGTAGGCACAAGGCCTAGAAGAGTGCAAAAGCGCTGATGGTCACAAGGCTGAAGCGCCTTGGTGAACACATCAGCAGTGTTGGCCTCAGAGGCCACGTAACGCAGGCGAAGCTGACCACGCTGCTGCAGCTCTCGAGCAAGGAAGTAACGCAGAGCAATGTGCTTCGTTCTGTGCTCCAGTCTGTGCTCCTCACACAAGGCAATGGCTGCATTGTTGTCGACGTACAGCACTGGAGGAGAACGAGGCTGCTCTCCAAGGTCGGTCAGCAAGTAGGTGAGCCAGCGTAGCTCCTGGGCCGCCATGGCTGTGGCGTAGATCTCAGCCTCACAACTGGAGCTGAGAACAGAAGAAGAGCGAGTAGAACGCCAAGAAACAGAACCAAAGCCAAGACTGAAGGAGTAACCCTGAGACGACCGCTGAGTAGCCTGGTCATCTGCCCAAGAAGCGTCTGAGTGCCCAGTGAGAACAACTGGGACTCGCCCTCCAAGCACTAGCCCCATGCCCGACGTACTGCACAAGTAGCGCAACACCCTCTTAGCTGCATCCATGTGCTCCTTCCGGTGACGGCCGGGAGCGACATAGCGTGCAAGAATGCTGAGAGGGTATGCAAGGTCTGGTCGAGTGCAGGTCATCAGGTACATGAGGCAACCCACAAGCTCTGGATACGGGCCACTCGGCTCTACGGACTCATCCGAAGGCAGAGCTGAGAGCGAGTGACCGGTAGGCAGAGGAGTGGGCTGAGGTGAGGAGTACGTGAAGCGGAAGCGCTGAAGGACCTGCTGCACCATGTGTGACTGAGTCAAGGTGATCGTGCGGCGTGCTCTGTCCCGGGTGATCCGCAAGCCAAGGTAGCTGCGCAGTTCACCCAGGTCTGTGCACGTGTGTCTCTTCTGTAGCTCCGACTTCACGTGGGCGAGTGCCACAGTGTCAGCAGTAGCAAAGACCAAGTCGTCGACGTACACAAGGACGTAGAACGGCGGCAGTGAGGTGTCGGTGCGTAGAAACAGCAACGGGTCAGCAGTAGAAGGCGCGAACCCAAGAGCCGCAAGCGTAGTCCTCAGTGTGTCGTGCCACTCACGAGGCGCCTGGCGGAGACCGTAGACTGGCCGTCGGAGGCTCCACTGGGTACCAGGAGGGAACGACCCAGTGAAGCCAAGTGGACGGCGCAGCCAGATCTCCTCGTGCAGGCTGCCCTGCAGGAAAGCAGTGCTGAAGTCAAGCGAGTGGAGCTCGTAGTCACGTTGAGCGGCGACGTGCAGCAGAACCCGAAGAGTGGTCATCTTCGGGGTCGGGGAGAAGGTTTGGAAGAAGTCAACTCCCTCTCGCTGACTGAAGCCTCGTGCAACGTAACGCGCCTTGAAGACAGGCGGAGAGCCCGGCGGTCGCTTCACCCTGAAAATCCACATGCCACTGACGATGTTCGCCCCAGGTGGGGGAACCTCGTCGACGTAGGTGCCTGTGGACTTCCAGGAAGCCATCTCTGTGTCCATGGCTGACTGCCACTGAGAGGAGTAGGGACCGGCCATCGCCTCTGCGTAAGAGCGTGGGGTCGGGATGTCTGGTGCATCCGGGTCTCCCTCAGGGGCAACAAGCATGGACACGAGATGGGGCAAAGCGGCAGCAAAGGACTCAAACTCCTCCTGCCTGTCCTCAAGGACGTCAGTGCTAAGAGCACACTCACCCCCGACGGACGGAGGACAGACAGACTCAGACTCAGCAACTAGGCAAGCAACGTAGTCTAGACGACAGCGAGCAGCAAAGTCGACAAGCTCAGCAACTAAGGCAGACGCAGCAGCAGACTCAAAGGAAGGGTCAGTGAAAACAGTAGCCAGGAGACGCGTGACAGTAGGACTGGTAGCACGAAGAGAGTCAGACCCAGGGTCAGCAAGAGCAGGAAGAGAGGAAGCAGGAGGAGACGGCAGTGGGACACGCTGTGGAGCAGTGGACGGATGAAGCGCCATCTGGTGAGTGCCTGGGACAGCAGGAAGACGCTGACGCTAGACTCGACTACTAGAGAGAGCAGTGCGGACAGGCGACTCAGGACGAGACTCAGGCGACGCAGGACGAGACGCAGGCTCACGCCGCTCAGTAAGACCTCCAGTCGGACCAGTGTAAGGAGCAGGACCAGGGAGAGAGGAGGCAGACGGTAGCTGCGACTGCAGCTGGACAGGCGGAGGACACGCTAAGGAGGGAGGAGGAAAAGGAGGAGGAAGCTGACCAAGAACCTGCTGAAGGAGCGGAACAAAGTACGGCCGAGACCGAGCAGCGACACCAGAGCCAGCAGGGACGCCCGCACCAGGGTCCGCAGCACCAGCAGCAGCTCCAGCGCCCACGTCCTCAGCACCAGCGGCAGCTCCAACGCCCGGGTCCTCAGCACCAGTAGCAGCTCCAACGCCCGGGTCCGCAGCACCAGCGGCAGCTCCAACGCCTAGGTCCTCAGCACCAGGAGCAGCTCCAACGCCCGGGTCCTCAGCACCAGCAGCGGCTCCAACGCCCGGGTCCTCAGCACCAGCAGCAGCTCCAACGCCCGGGTCCTCAGCACCAGCAGCAGCTCCAACGCTCGGGTCCTCAGCACCAGCAGCGGCTCCAACGCCCGGGTCCTCAGCACCAGCAGCAGCTCCAACGCCCGGGTCCTCAGCACCTGCAGCAGCTCCAACAGCAGCGGGGTCCGTAACACGAGGCACGCCACTCCGAAGAGTGCAGCGCCGCTCGTACCACTCACGGATCCGCTCGCGGGAGGGGAGCTCCCGAATGGGAGAAGAAGCACTAG